TATACTCACCAGTTAACTCTGCCTCACTGCATAATTCCCCTTATTGGCAATCTGCTATGCACAGTAGGGACAAAGAGCTCATCCTCTGTGGTATTCCAAGACTGCAACCCTATCACCAATATTTGCAACTGAAGCTAAAATCAAGAGGAGAGTTGAACTGATGTAAACACTTAAGCATGCAAATTTCACATAAATCTTAATAGGAGGTATGCAAAAGTCTGCATGCAGGACACAAATTTTTTAAAAATTCAACCCAATACCCTGGAAAATTGTGGGGTTTTTAAAATATTGTTTCCCCAGCCTGAATCACAAGCATGAGATTTTACCTATTACTGCAAGAGCTGTCATTATCATCACATTTTCCAGTTACCTCCAGCCTCCGCAACTACTTACTTTGCTTACTTACATAGTGTACTATTGGAAAGATTACATACAATCTCATAAGCCTCAGATAAGGAATGTCTCACTTCTTGAATGACATTTTCTAAAGGAAAACAGAGATAAAATATCTAGATTGATACTTAAAATAATAAATCATAACTTTGGGTATTTAATTATGCTGTGGTTTTTTTTCTTTTTACTATTACAAAACTTTCAGAAATGCTTTACAGCAGGTTCTGCGCACCATTAGACATGAGTAAAATATAAGACGGATCACAAATCCATCAAGGAAAGTATACATTTTTTCCTCACCTTAACTTGACGTAAGTTAAACTAAGTAAAATTTTTATCTCATTTAATGCAACCAGTCATGCACAAGACTATTACATCGCAACATGACAATGCAATGAAACATTCCAACATCATACGAGAGGGTATGAACCTTAAACTGGTTCCTCCACAACTCTGCATGCACTCAGTAACAAAGAACTTAGCCGTTGTTTATAAAACACATGCTGTCCCCCTAGGTGAGTAGCTTTCTGACATTCTTACCAGCATTTAAGTGAAATCCATCTCACAAGCCAGGACCATGAATTTTTCATGAAGTAGGTGGCAAGTATTATCACAGAAGTGAAATAACAGGAGTACTGTAATAATCTCAAATCATTAACATATTTCAGTATGCAAACCTCTCACCACACACATTCATTTCAATATTTTCTTTGCCATGGTTGCTCGCATCCTGAATTTTCAAAGTTATACAGTGCTTTGAACTTTTGACATGCATTCGAAGGAACTATGTATGTCCTGCCACCAGAAAACACAAGCTGTAAGACTCGTTTTCAGAAATGTTTTTAGTATCTTCCTGGCAATCCTCCCACCACACCCCAATAATGTACCGCAGATCGAATACAGATTTGCTGACTGTCTATTGGCAAAAAGCATAAAACCCCATGTGTGTCTGCAAACATAGCACAAAAAGAGTTCTGCCGAAAAATTTAGAGTAAGTGCTTCAGTTTCTAATACAGGGTGTGAATCTGCCCTCCAGGTTGCAAAGAGATGCTGTGCATCTGGAGCTGTAGGTTCTATAAAAAGCAAAGATCTGATGCTTTGAAGAACAGTAATTTAAAAAACAACGATCTTACACATTGGATTTTATTCCATAGCCCTTTTGTAACTACTCCTTTTGTAACTTTCCTGACTTCCCCTCCTAGCAATTCTGTACTACTCCTGACTTTACACTGATGTAAGATCAATTGCCCACGACACCCTTTTTTTTTTTCTGCTGTTATAGAAATTGCAATTCACTTCTGCTACTCAAATTTTACCTGAAGGGAAATTCATTTATTTCTTGTCAATTAACAAAGGTTGTTACTTATGGCTTTATCTAGAGTTCTGATTTCTAATTTTGCATAAGGCTTTTGAACTTGCAATTTTTATAGAAACAGCTTTCATAAAAGTATCAGGTCATCCATGTTAACAAAGGAATTGTCCAGAAAGGCATCCTTTACATGCTGTGAAGAAAAGGGGCTAATCGACGGTAAGTCTAAGCACACGCTTGCTTACTTGCACTACAGCAAAACTGGCACGGACACTCATGACTGCTGAATATGCGTTCTGGGATTCTTTCTGACAGTAAGAGGTACTTTATGAAAAGATTGTATGCGTATGAAGTGGAACCTACTTTTCTTTTTATATGACTTAAAACTAAAAATAATATAAAATGTAATCAGAATTAGAGTGAATTCCAGCGTTTAAGCCATGATGAGAAAGACAGAAATTTAAGTAAGAACTTAACTGCAAACACAGAATTTCAGTTTCACCAAGTCATGGAGTATATAAGAGATTAGACTGGCAGGTGGTTCAATACCTTTAATCAGTGCTGTAAATGTTGACCTGGTTTGCAATCGAAGAACTTGCAGACTAATTCTGCTAGTTTTTTTCTAGTTACAGTTTAACTAAGTTTGTATCAGTTCAGCTTAAATACATGTCATTTTAAGTGGGGAACACTGCTTGATTCACTGGCTTGAAGTCCCTCTAGGAGCACAGTATGGGTGTCAATGGCTTTTATGCATCATGCTAGCATGCAGTGACAGATTGAGGTATCCAAAACTAGACTACAGTTTGCAGCAGGGATTTCACGTAGGCAGGGTAGCATGTATGAGTTAGGTGCAATCAAACAAGCGAGAAGATAATACTAGCAAAACCAACGGTCCCTGGCTTCTGTTGCATTCTGTTGAACACCCATGAAATTGGCCAAATCAAAGGATCAGCGGATTTTTACCCTCAGAATATTTATTCTGGGCTTGAGTTGAAACAGGTTTGCATGTCTTCTTAGAGTGTTTACCTTTCCTAAATCTGATGCAGATTCCGTGATGCTCTGGGATGAACCTGGTTGACTCTACATCTCCCACTGCCACAAAGAACAGAAATCAGTATATTCCAAGTTAAATGCCCACACAAGCTTCCTCACGTTTGTACAGAAACCATTTTTGTACATTAAGTAGGATCCAGCTAAAGTAAAGTGCCACCACGTATTCACATATGGGAATTGGGTTCCCACATATGGGAACCAATCTCACATTTGCAGGCTTTGTGTATGGTCACAGGTTTGACGCCATCGGTGGAGCAAAGGATGCACAACACACGAACATTCCCTACTCAGCCTCACTGTCTTGTGTAGTGAAGCATGTGACCTGTCTGACACTTTAAAATGTCTCCAGAACAGTAATTTCTGAGAGGAAATAGCTAAGAGATGTGAAATGGACTCTTGCTGAGGCTGTGCAAAATTTGAGTACTTCAAACATTTTGGTGGTCAGATGTAGAAATGGCAAGGTAGAAAAATCTCAAAGGAAAAATTAATCATTCTTCTCTATGTTCAAATAAAATAAGATCAGCTTAAAAATATTTTTGTATCTAGGTTGAGACAAACTACAGAAATTTCAGCTAAAAAGGGAAGTTTTGCATAAAGCAAAGATACAGATTTGGCAATTCAGAAGAGATCCATTTCATCATGAACTGTTACGTCACGCCTTAAAAAAGCACTACCATAATTTAAGACTATTTTAAAATTATTATAACTCTAAATTCAAATAAGCCCTTATAAGCATAACACTTTATTATTTGTTTACGAGGTGTACTGTATAGAACAAAAAAAAAAAAGATACAGAACATGACAATTATTTTACACATGTAACCTTGCATTTGCTTTTGCCAGGTCTTCCAGTTACTATAGTAAATATTCCTACAACTCCTAGTAACTCCCAATTATAAGAGTGAAAAATAAGCAGAGAAATTTTATGTGCAACAAGACCAGTTGTAAGAAAGAGACAGCCTTGTAGGTTTGGTGGAAGAACACCCATGGCACTAATGCCACCAGAAGAATATTACAAGGTGGAATTATTCATTTACTTTTTATTGCATCGTTACTGCATATAAATGCTACTGTTATTGCTTCACCACCCAGCTTTATTGCATACAATGAATCAAAGCATTAAGAAATGCCACACAGCATAGAAAACATGATGTATTAAAATAATGGATTCAGCAATGCACAATATGTAGCTGAGAAGTTATAAATGCTCTATCAATTCTTTATTCCCCACTGTAGTTTACTGCAACATAAAAGTATAATAGAATTAGCTGCAAGAGGTATATTTAAAATCTGCTGACAATTTTTTGGAGAGATTTTCAGTAAGTGTGAAAAAATAAACATCTTCAAAGCAATAAAAAGTATTACAGTAAAACCTTCCTTCAGCATGAAAAATACCGACAACTGTTCTTTTCTTACCCAGACATCAGAGGAAAAAGTTACGAAGCTTTGGCTATTTATAACAAGTGGTATTCTTCAACGTTTCATTAGCTCTTGGGCAACTGAATATAACTACTACAGGAACATTGACTGCACCACCAGTAATCATCTTTTACAGCCCCACATTTTAATTAGTTGCTACTAATGTTTAGTTCTCTATGAACCAAAAGGATCACCAAATTCCACCTCCATCACTACAAAGCATGTAATGAAAAACTGAATTGGCTCCTACACTAAAATTAGCAAATATCAGCAATTCTCCAGTGTATCACATTACTCTAGGTGTAACTGAAAAGACTAACTCCTGCCCCATATGCACAAGATTATGAAAAGAGCTTTCAAACGAGGAAACGAATGGCTTCAGATTTTCTTGCTAAGTCGTAGCCTCAAAAATTTCACAGGCATGAAGAAAACACTGGCTAAAAGTCTGTTTAAATTATGTTCAAAACCACAAACATGAAAAATATTCTCAGCTTGCTTTTCCCAGACAAATTGTGAATAAACACACTTTCCTCACTGGAGGAAGTATGTTAGCAGGGGATAGGCTTTCCGTTAGTTTCCTCACTTATTTCATTATTTGTACAATAAATATTTTTTCTCTCTGTCTCCACACTGCCTACACTAGCTCTTTGAAAAGATAATTTAAATACCTTACTTCACTTTTTATCCCTTTCACTATTGCTTCACTGCTCTGCTAAGTAACTTTGCAGTTTGATACTCAATATTCATGAACGGGAACTAAACAAGCAAACAAAAAAAAGTCACTAACTCTTTTTGCACCAGAAGAACTTTTCGGTACATCACTTACCACCCACGGTTTGTCACAGAAGTTATAGACTGATTCCAGGGAGTTGACGCTAGGGATGCCTGCGTACTGCATTCCAATGATCAAGTTACGGAAATCTTCATTTTCTGCCATACTGAATGAATGTTGTCGAACAAGGACAAAATCAGGCCTGAATGACCTAGCAAGAAAAAGATACATTGCTAAAAGTCAATGCTCATTTTTCCTTCAATAGCAAAATCTTAAAAGGGAAAAACGTATCGCTGATGGATAGAGAAGTACTAAAAGAACACTCAAAACAAAGGTGAACGCTACAAGACAGAAAGAATTACTATGGCTTTATGAAAATCTGTACTATATCATTTCTTAACCACTGTTCAGAAAACATCAGCTCCATTAAGAGGAGAGACAAGTTATGGCTTTTCAGGTTGTTGTCTCACCAAAACATAAACCATATATATAAACTCTGCGTATGTTCTTGGTCTATGTGCACCAGTTCCTGAAAAACAAGAATCCAAAAAAAAGCACGCAAATGTATCTGCCAGAAGCTTAAGCTTGTTGGGAACAATTTTTTTCACAACTATTGTCAGGCTGTTTTAAAGACAGTAAGGGATGAAGCAACCCCACGGCTCACAAAAGGAATCATACCATAATCGGGAGATAATCGCAATCCAACTGTTGATCAAGACACTTACCAAAATGAATTTCTAAACTTACAACTGCACTTTTTTTCCTCTTTCTCTTTTGTACCTAATCAGGATTTCCCCTGTTGCAGCCTCTGTGGCTTCTTGTCCTATCGCCACGCGCCTTTGAGAACAGTCTGACACTATCTTCACCTTATTTAAACCCTGCCATTTAGTTACTGAGGAAGGTTATGGAAAACAGAAAATGTAATGCACTGGGACAGAGTCAGTACAGGGCAATTCACTCCTAAACTTGACTGTTGAAAGATTCTCTTCCGTATTCAAATTTTACAGGTGGAAAAAACACTGACTAGCTTGAAGCTATCAACCTCCTGAAAGAGGTATAACTGCAGCGTAAATTAAATTAGTGTAGTAAATTGGTGTAATTACATACAACTTATATTTATTCAAGGCATGTAAACTGGAGTGAAAAAGTCCAAAGATCACAAAATGATTCTGAAGTCTCACTCCAGTAAAATAAAACAAAACCAAACCAACTAAAATTAATGTTAAAATTGCTGAAGCAGTTTTGAGACTCAAGCCTGAATGCCGTAGTCAAAGTACATCAGCTGGATTCTTAAGTTGGCTTTCAAATGTAACGCACGATTTGGCAAAAGCAGCATTATAAAGATTTGCTGTCAAGAGTCATTAAAATGGCAGCGTAGGCTGATGACCAAACCTTGTGAAGAAATGCTTGCCTTTAAGAAGTCTCAAAGAAAATAGTTGTAGCATAGTTCTGAGAATTTGTGATCTAGGTTTCCTGGTGGTGAGCCAAGCGTTTGAAACAAGGAAATTCCATTTACTGGCACAGAATGAGTATAATACTTAGAAGACTAACAATGCCTTAATCAAAAACACAGACCACTCAGTGACAGAGAGACCCCTCTATAATTTAAAATAGTGCTAAGGGGATTACACATCATCTCAAAGACAACACTGTGTTTTTAAATAAAAGTAAAGAACAGAAAGTGTCCTTTAAAATACTGATTTAATGACACAACTGGGGAACTGGGGGAATGTACTTTAAAAAAAAAAAAGATTATATATTTTGCTTTGCAAAATCTCCTCAAAGGGACAAGACACATTTACATAATTGTTCTAGTTCTGTAATTACTGCTGGACAGAATGACTGTGTATACAAAAGAAGGTCATGAGAAAAATTTTAATCCCGGCTCAAGGATTTGTAAGAACCCAAAATCTCAGCATTATGTAACATGAGATATCATTTTTCACGGTTTTATTTTCATTCACAAAAAGGAAACAAGCAGGCGCCTGTTACACAGTTTTTTCCTCCTAAACTAAGGCACCAAAATGTTGTCACTGAAACGTCTATGATTTTACAAACTAATATTTTGCTCATAAATCTAAGATACAAAGTCACTTTGGACCTCACATTAATAACACATAAGACTTTTCATCTCAATACTCCCTTTTAAGTAATATGCTCATAGTCCATACTCGATATGAACTCTGATACTAGTGGGACCAGTAGTTTCCCCATCTCTCTTGATAGCGGAGACAGACAGAAACAAAGGAACATGCCACCCATCCTATTGTCTGACCCAGATTTAACGCTGGATTTCAAATGAAGTTTCTTACCAACTGAACAAGTAAAGTAATACCCATCAGTATCTCTGCATTCCTGAGTGACACAAGAAGCACATTGGAAGCTTCAGGCAATAAACTTCACAAACTGACTAGGCTTAAAGCAAGATGAAGACTAGCACTTACTGGAAGATACAGAAAATTTATGAAAAATACTTTTGTTTTTAAAAAATATTCTGTATCTCCAGAGAAGTTATCATAGAAACAGAGAACTGCTGTCCCATCGTGTCTGCATATCCTCACGGCAGAAAGCACGCACACAGATATTTCATACACCTTTGAGTGAAATTTATCAACTTCAGGTAGTTCTACTAGGTTAAGTAAATTACCCTTAAAACTGACATTATAAAATTCTTTGTCATCTCATTGTCAGAGTTATCTAATGACACAACAAGATTTCTCTGCTTCTTAACAAAAGCAGCAATTTTACCAAGTTTTGTCACAAACTGCAAATATATATCCTTCTATGGAGGTTCCCGATTCACATTAAGTATTGACATGTTTTGATGATAACTTGGCCTCAATATTTTTGTTCTGTTTGGAAAATCCTCTGCAGAAAAGCCACTAAGGAGCAGTGATAAAGATTTCCTGGCTCCAAAACGTCTATCATCAGGAAAAAAAAAAACAAAAAACTAAACTAAATTAAACTAAAATGAAATCTCTTACTCTTATAAGGAAATAATGTTGTGGATTTGGCATAAGTCGTTGTTGTATTAAGCTGCAGTATATTTAGAACGTAAGAGAGATTAAACAGTTGTGAGTTTGAAAGCATAAAGTACATTTATTTTCAATATTTTTTTCCCTGATTTTTTTTTTTTAATGAAAATTTCAAATCTTTTATTTGGACAGATGTTGTGCAAAACCATGATGATACAAGACACGCTGTATGCTGTCCAGGTCCCTGAACTCTTACTCCTGCCTGAAGATAAACATAAGCAGGGAACTACCAGGTCACTGTTAGTGGCTTGATCTACCCTTCCCAATGCAATTGTTCACCCAAACAACTGCAACGCTTAACTCAACTGCACTGGCCAACTGCACTGGCCATTTAAAAAATGGTACCCACTAATGAGATAAAATATAGGCCTGCCTGAAATACTGAAATAAATAAAAATAAGTAAATAAAGCTAATTCTTACTTAAGCTTTCACTTTCCCCAGACATACCCCTTTTTTCTCCCCTTACGTTTACAGTGCTGTTGACATCCTCACTGAAAAAAAAAATTTAAAAAATGGTAAAATGACCCTGCCCTGATCCTTTTTGGACAAAACAGCATATTGGAAAATCTCAGGCTTTTAAATGGCCATCTTTCGAACAGGCAGTGATATTCCAGTAACTATCCTGAGAGAAACACTCTGACTTGGCCTGTTTCAAAAGAAAAGATCCAACATCGGAAATAAATACTGCTCATCTGGAAAGGTCTGGCATGTACAAAATCAGCAAGGCTGTCTTATTTTTGAAGCAAAGATAAGACCCAAATCAATAACCCTGACTCCCAATCGGGTATTCTTCACACCAGACTTCGCTCCCATCTTAATCAAATCCATCTTTCATGGGATGAAAGTGTCGAGAGACTTCCCTCCTGTCCCAAACAGGACTGTCTGACACTGGTCAGATAGTTTACTTCCCACTTTTCGTGCCAATGACCGAGATGAATTGCATCAGTCAAAGTCCCTATCGCACATACACACAAAATCATTCCCTACCCTTTACATGCAGACATTATGCCATTTATTGCTTTTTGCTGTTATTTAGCTTTTCTTACCTGACAACTTTAGTGCCATTTCGAAATACTTGGATATCTACTGCATAATTGCCGTCAGCATGGGCTATCAAGTTGATTTCTGAAAATTCTGCCTATGAAAAGAAGACTCACGTTAGTCAGCCGGGTTTATTTTACGGTTAATTTCTTAAACCCCTTCTTTTAAGTATTACTATCTGAACTGCTGACAACATACATTTGGAATAAAATGAGCACTAAGAGGATATTAATTTAACAGTATTTGCCACGTATGACACATCACATTTGATTAAATTCTAATAAAAAGAAAGCAAAAAGAAAAAAAAAACCTTTCTGAAAAAATGACTGTGGGCTGTACCAAAATGTATTTCCTTATTCATGTCTGCACAGAAGTGTAAAGATTATATTTTTGCTTTGTATGGTGTTATCACAGATATTAATACAGACTCAACAAACATTTGTGTAAAGTTTTGAAGAAAACAGTACAAAAGCAATGTTAAAATAACTATGATAAATAGAACATTTTCTGAGAGCATTTAGTGCCTCTTCGTATACTTCATCCCTTTATTTCCTTTATGTACATTTACTCTTTAAAAGATCTGGTGCTAATAAACAATTGCCTCAAAAGATTCACAAATAAAGAACTTTTTCAAAGTATCTTCTCACACTAGAAATGTGGAATTTAAAAGGAATCACTCCATACTCTGAAACTACAGTTATGTGAAAGGAAAGGACAGGATGTTTTTCATTTATCCACAGTCTTTCATCAGCTTAGACTCTCAAGGCACTTTACAATAACATTACAGAGCAGAATAATTGAAATGCAGCCAACTGTCTTCTAGTGGATAAATAAAAGCGTCTTTGCTATCCCGGACACTAATACAGAATAGAGAGTGTCAGAATTCTCATTAGTCTCCTCTTGAAAAATGGTATCACTGAAAGTCTTCCTAAGTAAAATCCATCTAGGGCTTTCAGAATTTAGCGTTCAGTTAAGGCAAGTGTTGACTACTCTAACCACCGGTCCAACTTAATAGCTTAAGTATGTGCTTGATTTCAAGCATGGAGGTCTCTTCATTAAATCCCACATGCTTATATGCTTTCTTGGATCAGTGTTACAATGTTCTAAACACAAGGGGCAGTTTCAAGGTTATTGTAAAAACAGTGCAAATGGTGAGAGATTGAAATATTTGTATGAGTGCTGACAATCTGAAAGAACGTTTAAAATCTATTTAATCTGAGATTGACAACTTGTCTCTCCAATTAACAAATCATATTAAACAATTACAAGGATTCACAATATAGTTTGTCGTTTTAAAGCTTAGTACATGATAGAAAATACTGTATGTGATAGGTTTCTGTATAAAAATACAATAATGCTCTCTGGTATTAGCGAAAGAACACTAAAATAGTTGTTAATAACTCTGTATACGATTGTCACAGTGTTGACGTGTTAAAAAGTGATTAGTAGGGTTCAGAAACATTCTGTCTCTTACTGATTAAAGGTGGTTCCAGACCTACAAGAGACCATACGAAGCATATTCTGGGCTTACACCCAGTTTTTGTTAATATTAGAGAGACAGCGTGTCTAAACGTCAACTGCATGGTCTGATCCAGGTGTGAATGGTATTTTGGGACAAAATAGCTTGTCTTCTTTTTCCCATCTCTCCCTCAACACTCTTGAAGATCCCTGGCAAAGCCTTCCACGTTTCCAAGCCAAGAACACCAGCAGATATACAGTGGTGTAAAGAATGAAGCAAAGCTAGATGTTGCGCTATTGCGGTGAACTTAGGTAAGCTGAATCCACACAGCTAGCAATCATTTTCCCCTCACTCCGAAACTCCAACGACAAAACAATTCAGCCTAAGTACTGAAGCTTCTTACAGTAGCACCTATTCATAGAACAGAAGATTGAAAAGCAGTGAAAAGACGTATTTAATTCCCTAGTTTCAGATATCTAGCTCAAATAAAATAGCCATAATTCTAATGCACCCTGAATTATATCTCCATATTTATTGTGCTTTTTTTAAAAAAAAAAACAAACAAAAAACATGCTAACACTCCAACCAGAGTGTATGTATATCCTTAAGCGAAGGAATTAGTGATACAGAAATGCAACATGTAATTCATGGAGTTTCTGGGAAATGCAGTCTCTAAGCAACAACTTTTGAATATGACATGCTTTTAATCTACAAATTATGGTCAGAATCCTCTAAAAAAAGCCACGTTAGCATGAAACAACTAAATCTTTGAGTGTTCTAATTAACTTGTGAGGGTTTCCTGAAGCACAAAGCGCTATGTATCTATCTATACATATATGCACACAGAATCATAGAATCATTAAGGTTGGAAAAAACCCTTAAGATCGTCGAGACCAACCATTAACCTAACACTACCAAGTTCACCGCTAAACCATGTCCCTAAGACATCCACACGTCTTTTAAATACCTCCAGGGAGGTATGTATTTATACATATATAGGTATTTGTATAAATACACAAATATAAAAATAACATTCAGATTAAGTCATTTAATTACCTGTTCAACCTTTATGTCATATTCTCCATGGACCTTTTTTCCACGAAAAGCCTTGGCCCTGCAGAAAAAAAGGGAGAGCAAATCAAGGATATATGTATTTGTAATCAGTAGCTACAGGAAACTTTCCTGTATGGTCTTCAGTGTCTTGAAAATACACATACATGCTAATTGAATCTGCCTACTACACATACACAATTCTCTTTCCTTTGACATCCTCCTGTCCTTAACATCCCATCACGCAGTATTTTGTGATAAAAAGCACGTATGATGTGATTTTCAACATTAAAGGGTATATTAAGCGTACTGAAATACATATTTCACAATTAGTTATTAACACAAAAAAGTACCACTAAAAAGATGCAATCCTGCTCTCATTGAAGTCAATAATGCCAGTGGAAATGCATTTCAATGTGAACAACATTGTAACAACCACTCATGTTAATCTTTATCCACTTCATTTATTTAGAAAAACTGGTTTATTGGGAACAATATGCTTAGAAACTTTATATTGTTTTTAAAGAAAGCATCAGAGGTACTGGGACTGTTGTCACCAAATTCGCCAGTGCCTAAGTTACTAATAAGTTTTGCTTTTTCTAGACTATAACTTGAGATGATGTAATTAATCTGAAGGAGGGTTTATAAGTAATTATTATGCACGAAGACTGCTGTGATAAAACAGAACTGAATTCAATGATCCAGTCTCCCAGGTCTAACAAGTGGGCATTATTTCTAGTAATCTGTCAGTTGTATGCCTTAGGCAGCAAGTATCTGCTTTGGAGTAAATGGGAATTTTAAAAAACCACAATCTGTGGATAAACTATGAAGTTGAAAAAGGGAGATGGTATCAATCTGTCTCTGCACCTTCCTTGCTCAAGCCAAAGCTTAGAGTACCTTCCATGCTTTTGTTATATGTAAGTACAAATCTGTTGCACAATCCAAAACCAGAACATCGGAGAACATCTTCTGAAGTCTTAGGAAAAAAAACAAAACCAAACAACAAACTTTGTCCATTTTCAACATCTGATAAAATGATATTATATTAAAATAAATCTACTTCATCGGTGAAAGTAATGTATATACTATGTATTAAAACAATTCATCATTGCTTTTTGGAAAATTCTTTTCCCACTGAAAGACAGAAGAGTTTCACCATTAGTTTCAGTATGGAAAGAACCAAACTTCATAATAATCAACTGAAAACACTGCCTTTGGCAACATATTTAAGGATATCTTAGGTATTATGGAAAACCAATGGTAGAAAGCAAAGAAAGTGTTTATACTGAAATGTCATACTAAAATATTGCCCAACAATTAATTCTGTATGAAAATGCAATTGGTACAAATAAGGAAGAAAGCATTTGCACTACTGGTTTATACTGGTTTCTTGTAATAAACACATATGAAGTCTGAAATCTATAGTTTTATTATAGAAGGTGCATACATACAGGATAATGTTATCAAGTATTTTTGCCAATAACGAAAGCAGAAGACTGTATCACAAATCTAACAAAAAAATACTATTAATCCCTTATTTTTCTTTCCAAATTTCCATATGAATATGAAAATTATCTCTTGAAAACTCTGAAGATATCTGGACACAGCTTAAGTTTTATAATGCTGTTTATGTTGAAGCACCAGCTGGACCACATTAATCTAACAGGTGCAGGAAAGCCAAGGACATCTGTATTGCCCTGGGAGGAGCCCACAACAGCCACACACCAGATAGGAAGATCTCACGTTCAAAGATAGCACCACATTGCCTCAGGAGAAAAGTAACCAATTCCCAACAGCAGACAGCTTAATCATCTCTATGAATAACTGAGATTCACCACTTCAAAAAATATTTAAAACTCGTATCCCCATGAATTTAATAGTAATGTTATTGTCGAATTCATCCCCATGAATTTAATAATGTTATTGTCAAATTTTACTGGGAACATGCTGAGCTCCTAGATTTTATTTCTGATGCAGCACCAGGTGAGGTAAACACGTTATTGGACATCACATAGCACAAATTTAATTTAAATAGAATTATGTTGGCTACATAACACAATAAACGTCACAGTGAAGCTGCCTCTTGAACACTGAACAACATGCTTAAGAGTAATACTCAGTTTCTGCAAAGCCGAATGGTAACTTGACCATATACAGAGATTAAACCTCCCACAATGCTTACCCTAACAACTATCATAACTGATTTCTGTTTCATGAGAGGAAACGAAAATAGGAAACCACAAAGGCTCTTCAATTCTTTAGCACTAAGTCCATTGCTCATACTGGAATGTGCTCAAAACATCAGCTAATTATTAATTAGTGAGATGCTATTCCTTTAAATTCAGTTTTTCTACTTAAGCATCATTTAAATTAGGCAAGCTTTAAACAAACTCTGGCATGATTCACATTTCAACAAATGATTTTGGCTTTGAAAATAAACAGTAAGTACTGAAGTTAAGCAATCTGAGACTTGAAAACAAACATGACATTTAAACATTAAACAGACTTAATTCCAAAGAAGCATTAACCAACAACTTTCCTAAAAATGTATAATATTCAATAATATTCTCCAAATGTCCAGCCACAAACTGCAAGAATTTATCTTGCTATCTTACAACAAAACGTCATGACTCAGTCATTCCAGAACAAACTAAGAAATTCTTAGCATAAGTTTGCTGTGAAATAGAACCTAGTTTCCATTTTATTTACTGTGCTTAGGAAATACAGTCATATCCTGCTTAAATTATTTCCTATTTGTAATGAGAAATGTGCAAGCCTATTGTAAAGGCATTTATTACATGCTTAAATTATATTATTTTTTTTTACTGAGGGGAGATGGGGAACGGAATTCTTTGGTGCTATTGATAACTTCACTGAATTGTAGTTTGACATTGACTACTCTCAGTACTGTGCACAGAACACCTGTACATCAACTCTCGGAGCACCTCTGCAGGAAGGAAGGATGTCCAGGCAAGGCGGTTGAGAAGGGCGAAAGGAGAGCTGTCAGCACGAGTAAAGTTAAAACAAATACGCCCCAATTCAAGTAACATTTGGCTGCCCATTGTTGATGATTTCTTGCATTGTATGTAGGGAAGAGAAGGAAAGCAAGCTGTACCACTATTCATCTGAAACTCAGTTTAAACAGTTGCTTTCCAATGTAGAGAAAAGAGACAGCTACTAATAAGAATGCCGCCTACTGGAGTTATTAGCATGACCTCTTATAGTCAGAATCTTTTCAAAAGATGTGAAATATTTATGCAATTTTTTTTTCCTACACAATTAATTTTTTGGATAAAAATCTCGCACATTTAAAATTCAACAACTATAAAATATACAGTTGCCACAGATGCAGCCTAATACAAACTCATACCACTTACCGAACTTTGGCAAGGACAATGAATGAAGTAGTAATCACTAAAAATGTTTCAAATATATAAAAAAGACCTGAAATATTTCCCTCAAACTACACAGCACCTACATACATTTCCACAGTACCTTACTACGCCACGAAACCAATGTGTTTTCATTTCATGTAAATGAACAAAGCATTAAAACTGGTGCTACTTTCAACAGGCAGCAAAATCAACAGGAAAATCACTTGCTAACATGCAACAGGTTTATACTTCTTCAATTTGCATTCTTTAACACCACAATGCAGAGCTTTCCAGCAACGGTCTTTAATTAAGTCAGAAGCGAGCATCCAGCAAAGACGTGGGGTCCAGTCCTGCAAACAACTGCTCGTGTAAGTCGTGGAAGTCTCCTCTCTTCACAGCACGGCACACCCTTAAACTCGGCGATCTGCGCTTGCCAATGTCGTACAGCACTTGCAGTCCGATTGCTGTACAAATAACATAACGTGTGCAGGCTTCAGTCCCAGTTGAACACTGATTTCTAGCCACGTCTGGACAGCGTACCGGGAATTAATTACTGATCCTAGCAATAACAAGACTGGATGCTCAAAAATAATTATAGCGCCAGTTTACTACAACAGGGCAAAAGTTTGTTCATCACTTCGAACAGTAGCACCCTCTAGAGCACAGAAACTGCACTGTCATCCTTTATAAACGGCATAATTCACTTCAAGCAAGGTAATGTACACATTTATATACACACAGAGCGGTATCAAAGAACTTGTTCAGTGGAATTACCATATGCACGTAAAGATTGTGGGAGACTACAGAAGATTGTGACACAGAACCCGGCAGACTTCCACAAACTTAATAAACGTGGTACACTATTCCCAGTGACAGAGTAGAAAATGTTGACGAGAAAGCAAGCCCAGTCTTCAAGTTCAAATCTGGTTAGAAATAACTCATTTTTTAATTCAATTTAAAAACAAAAAAGAAAAAGAAGAGGGGAGAGGGGAGTAAGATCATTACTTCTTCCATATGCTGAGGACTTTTTAGACTGTCATGCAGACTTCTGTAAATATATGAAAACTATAAGAAACTTATCAAAAGTGAGCATATGATTACATTTGCGTAGTATTTTCATTTTATGTCACCTAATCCACAATCTACTGAAACCAGTGGGAATCTCTCTATCAACATCAATGGGCTCTGCAACTGTCTGATAGTATCAACATTCATTACACTGACTTCCAACCACCCAGCCTAGCTGATAAAACTCATCATTTGGAACTGCTACGATGATGCTGTAATGATTAAATAGAAGAAGTTATTAAGACTACTGTAAACACATGGGTTTACAGACTTTTTTTAATTACTTGTTCCACGTTTCTGCAGCAAGAGACTGATAAGAGACTGCTATAAAAAATAATCCTATTTAAAACCTGACTCTTAAAGACCTTGATACCTTTAAATGTGTTACTCAGATTCTGCAAGGACCTATTTAGATTTAAAACATGTTCTTTTTTTCTTCTGCACTGTGAAGTTACACTTTTGGCACTTGACCCAACCAGTATTTCACTCTCATATAAAACAGTTATGTTTTCTCAAGCTATTACTTCATACAGAAATTGTCTTAAAATAAGCAGACTGTCACCACAAACTAAATGATAAAACATAGCAAATGCGTGACTTTTAGTTTTAGTAGTAGTCCCTG